AAAAAAAAAAAAAAGACATGAGATCGAGAAGATGGAAGAAGCTATGGTTGGGCAATATGCAGAGAGCCACAGGGAGACTCCAAAGAGTCATTGCTACAACAGCAGCCAGTTTAATCAACTACAGAACAAGCTAATTCTGCCTCATCAGTATTGGTTTTCTCTGTGAATTATACAGTACTAGTACCAGAGGAACAGGGGTAGGTAAGAGACTAACTAGAATAGCGTCTGAGCCATATTTTATTTTCATAAAATCCAACAAACAGCTTTTGATTCCTGAGCTCATCATTGACTTAATTAGACCTTCATAAAATATTCTATGCTGATTGTAAAAGAATTCGTGTCTTTGAATACCAATTTGCAGTGAGTTTTCTCATCTTTGGAATTGGCATCACCATGGTTCCTTACTGCCAGGCTCTTCAGATGCTCTTGCCCCTGCTGACCTTTTCTATGTCTTATACTCTCCCTGGAGGGTTTTCATTCTTGCTCATTCATGTATTCCCCTGATATTTATGTCTGTTCTTCAGTCATGAAAGGATATCACCTCTCCTTCCCCTGAAACTCCTAGTACCTGTCAGCAAAACTTCACACATTCCCTCTCTCCTGAAAAAGGAAAACCTTTTGCCATTACAAGGGTGCTTCAAATGTATTTTTACTTGTTATTCATTAAATTTATATTGATCACATATGTTTTCCCAAAATTATTTTGAAAAAGTTTTACATGAATTAGCCAATGCAACATGGCTGGTGTGATCACAAAAGAAAATGAAGAAGGAAGCCAGCAGACCAACTACAATTACTGTTCTTGACTAAAAATTTGCTCTAAATAATGAAGATCTAAAACCTAGCATCCTATTATTATTTAGGTATCATTGTTGAAGAGAACATAGTCTCTTAGAATAACGTTCTTTACCCTCGGTCCACAGTTGATGAAAACCTTGACAGTGGAATTTATACTCATAGTCAGTAATAAAATTTGTCCTTATTAGACTCAACAAATGTTTATTTAGGAGCTGTTAAATACATTTGGATGTCTCATTTTGCTAGGGAGAGACAGGAGCAATTGAATTACAATTAACATTAAGATTGGGGATGACTCATGACAGAGTACTTACTAAGCATGTACCAGAACCTGGGTTTGATTCTAGTACCACAAATAAACTAAAAAACTAATATCATTTGGTTATTATCACAACAACAGGCAAATCAATAGCTCTTTACATCTTAGGCAATAAAAGTTTGCATGGGAGTGAACAAAAGTTGGTGTAAGGGTTGGAGAGATATGGTGTAACGCCTGGTAAGTTGATCAGACTTCAGGATGTGAACCCACACCCATGAGCACTAAAGAAACATGGATTTGAATTGAGAGTCCTTTAAAAAACAAAGATTAAATAAAGAAATAAAAAAGGTATGTATAGTAATAGAGGATATGAACTCTGGGTGTGAGGTAATGGGGAGGGGCTGAAGAGCAGGGAGGTAGTCTGAATGTGATTCAAATATATTGTATGAAATTCTGGAATTAATAGAAAATTTAAACAAGCAAATAAAACAAGAAAACAAAGTACATGTCCTTCACTTTCAGAGGTCTCAAGTTAAATTGCCAGCACCCACATAAGGCAGCCTACAACCACCTCTTTCTCCAGTTCCAGAGGGTATGACACTTTCATTTGACCTCTGCAGGCACCTGCATTCAGATGCACACACACACACACACACACACACAATCAGAAATAAAATAATATCTTTAAAAAAAAGTGTCATTCTACATATGGACCTCAGCCCAGCTAGGAAGAAGAAGGAATACTTCTCTGGAGTAGTGGTTCCTGGTGTTACGAACAAATGTTATAAGCCACTACACATCACCTCTTAGAATGGAGTTTGGTGTTGAATGACAAGGCAACAAAAGAAAAGACTTTCCATTTCCCTACAAATGACACAATTTTGTTCTTTATGCTGAATAAAATCACATTATATTTGTTTTTGTGTGTCTGTGTCTATGTGTCTGTGTGTCTATGTGTCGCTGTATGTGTGTATATAGACATTACATACATTCATGCCACGTTTTCTATAGTCATTCCTCTATGAAGAGACACGCCACATTATTTTTAATAATGTCCTTATGAAATTCAATACTATGTGCAGTAAATATATGTGTCAATTTGAAAATGAATAATGGAAGGACAAGACAAAAGAGTTTTGCAGGCCCTGGGACAGCAAGTGCAAAACCATGTGCGAAAGAGTTTGCTCAGGGGCTTAGCCATGAAGGGACTTATGTTCAGGTTAATTCACTTTGTATTATGCTTGAGAAGTTAAGGAGCTTTGAAAAGTTTGTGTTAGAAATTGCCATTACTTGATTGCTAATTTTTAAATACAGAATTGCAGTATGAAGACACAGATTAAAAGAAAACAGACAGACTTTAAAGCTTTATCTAGAATAAGGACATGGAAGGAAGAAAAAGTGCTGTACTGTCAAAAATGCTAATCAACAATGTTCTCCATCATAATAAAATATGAATACAGAGTCATTTTGCTGAGTGCTTTTCTGCATGATTTGCAAGCAAAACAGATTTTCTTTGAGGTGAATATAATTTTGTGCATTTTTAACCTACTATGAAACACTTTGTTGAGTAATGAAATTTATTTCCTCCACATCTTTGTTAGAATTATCATATGCTTGGGTCTTCAATGAGTATCCATCCTTTGTTGAAGAAGATAGTCGGAGATTTGTCTCTCAAGAGACAGGGCACCTCTACATTGCTAAGGTGGAGCCGTCCGATGTGGGAAATTACACATGTGTTGTGACAAGCACTGTGACAAATGCCAGAGTCCTGGGTTCCCCGACTCCTTTGGTGCTGCGAGCTGATGGTATGACACCTTCCCATGTGGCATTCCCATGAAGTCACTTGTTTTAACTTTTATAGTCTTGAGGTGTTTCATAGCATTTAATGTTTTATGATAAGTTAAAAACATCACTAATGTAACATTATGAAGGAAAATTTTTCTGTCATTACCACCTTGATGGGCACCTAAGAGGTGTCTATGAGCTACAATAGAAAGTCATTTTGGGGGCCTAGCAGATCAGTTGGTAGAGGACTTGTCTAGCATACACACAGCCCTGGGTTTGATCCCCAGCATTACATAAACTGGGTGATGTACTGCACATCTGTAATCTAGTACTTGGGAACTGGAGACAAGAAGAGTATAAATTCAGAAGTTCAAGGACATCATGAACTATGTAGTAGGTTTGAGGCCAGAATGGGCTCCATGAGACTCAGAGAGAAGTGGGGTGGGGGGTTACCAATATATAAGCCTTGGTAGTTGACCTTAAGAAACTATTTGATGCAGCATAGTGCCTTAAGCACAAAGTATGAACACACTCTTTCCAGTTATAATTGAATTAGAATGCACCCACTTGTTAATTGACTATTTTTATGCCATGAAGCCATTTAATAAGTTTAAGATTGGCATCTCTTCAACCAGGTTGCCATTTAGAATTTTTCCTGCAATAAATTTTGTACCTTAGGAAATTTCAAGGAGTCATAATCCATTGAGTATTTCATCTTAAATAGAAATTTTCAAAGTGAATATTAAATTTCAGGTGCCTTCCATTTCATTTGCAGTATGATAGTGTTTTTCTTAGAAATGCTTTGCTTATTGCAGTACTTATGACTCAATGAAGCCAGAGTTCCTAAATGTTTACTTAGGTTGCATATTTGATCCAGGTTTGCCCTAGTAGGTAATTGCAGTCACTAAAAGAAGTGGTAAATTCAAAGTGGAGTTAAAGAAAGTTTTATTTACAAAAACAAAATAACATAGGAAATATTTGACACTACTGATTTTGTATTATGAATTCACAGGTGTCATGGGTGAATATGAACCCAAAATAGAAGTTCAGTTTCCAGAAACTCTTCCAGCAGCTAAAGGTTCAACTGTGAAATTGGAATGCTTTGCCCTTGGAAAGTAAGTTTGAGAACATTCATTTCCATCGCTGCAGTATTAGGTTAACTTCAGGATGAGTTGGGAACTACTTTTTCTTGGTAGTATAATTTCTTTTAATTTATACCTTTGTAAAAGTAATTTTGATTTTTAAATTAGCATATGCAGTATTAGATATCATTTTGGTATTTTCGAACAATGTGTGTTTTAGTAGATTCTCCTCCCGGCTTATCTCTGCTACCCACTGCTGCCCTTGATCCATCCTCGTATCTTCTTGATCACTCTTTTCCCCTCCTTCCTGTCCTGTGTGTTATTTTTTTCTCACCCCATCCCTCCTCATCGCTTATATTTACCCTCTTGTTTCATTTCTAAATTCTTAAGTCTTTATCCACACTTAGAGTGTGTGTGTGTGTGTGTGTGTGTGTGTGTGTGTGTGTGTGTACATCACAGACTGGAATCTACATGTAAGGGGGAACATGCATGGCTTTTTTTGTGGTTCTGAGTTTGGGTCAGCTCAATGTTATATTTTCTAGATCCATCCATTTTCCTGCAAATCTTATCATTTTATTTCTCTTTACAACTGAATAATACTCGATTGTGTGTATGTTCAACATTTTCATTATTTTAGTAAATCATGTGTAGTAAGAAGAATGGATGTGCGAGGATATATGCAGTGGGATATGAAATTGATCTGTTATATGCCCAGAAGTAGTACAGCTGAGTTTTACGACTGTTGAATTTATAATTATTTTAGAAACCTCTATCCTGATTTCATATTGGCTGTATCAGTTTGCATTCTTATAAGCAATGAATGAAGGTCCCTCTTTCTTGTCATACTTCCTGGAAGTTTTAGTCAGATTTACTCTAACTGGGGGTGAGGTGGTTTCTCAACCTTGTTCTAATTTGCATTTCCCTGTTGAGTAGGGATGTTGAATACTTGCCAAAATATTTAATGGCCTGTTGTGCTTCTTCTTTTGATAACTGTTTAATTTACCAGCCCATTTACTGGCTGGCAGTTTTGTTTCATTGGTATCTTTTTTTTTTTTTCTTGCTTCTTTTTGAATTCTGAATATTAGCTCCCTATTTGCTGATAAGGATTTTCACTCATCCTGTGAACTGTGTGCGGATGCTCTGCTGATAGGCTCTTTTGCTGTGCAGAAACTTTAATTTTATGTAGTCCCATCTATTGATACTTAGAGCTAGTTCTTGTGCTATTAAAGTTGTGGTCAGAAAGTTCTTACATAAATAAATATGTGTCTTAAAATGCATTTCCTATGTTTTCTTCTAGCAGTTTTAGTGTTTTAGGCCTTTAAATTGAGATTTGATCCATTTTGAGTTTTTTTTTGTGCAGGGTAAAAAATAAGGATCCAATTTTATTCTTATTTAGATAGGCCTCCAGTTTGGCCAGCACCATTGTTGAATCCTTCATCTTTTTTTCCCACTGCATGTTTTTGACTCCTTTGTCAAAAATTACGTGCCTTAGGATTGTCAGTTTTTTCTGGGTCCTCCATTCTGTTCCTTTGGATTGCCTGTGTGTTTATATGCCAGTACCAGTCTGTGTCATTGTAGCTGTGAAGTATAATTTGGGGTCAAGTAGTGTGTGTGTTTTCTTTTTTTCCTTAGGATTGCTTTAACTATTGTGGTAATTAGTAATTCCATGTGAATCTTTGGGTGGCTTTTCCTAGCTCTTTAAAGAGTGATACTGAAAATTTTATGACTGCTGCATTTAATCTGAAGATTAATTTTGTTATAGCCGCTTTCACGATATTAATTCTGTCAGTTGAGGTACATGGAAAGCCTTCCTGTCATCTAGTATTTTCTTTGATTCCTTTGAAGTTTTCATTAAAGGCTTCTTTCACTTTCTTCATTAGCTTTATTCCTATGTACTTTGTTGTGGACATTTCTAATTTCTTTCTCTGTGAGTTCATTGTTGATAGAGATATAGGCATGATTTTTGCATATTGTTTTTGTTGCTGTTAAAATATTTTATTTATTTTTATGTGTATTTTTAAGTGTTTTGTCTGCATATAAGTACACCACGTGCATGCAGTGCCCTTGGAGGCCAGAAGACGATGATGTCTTAAAACTGGGGTTACTGAAGGTTGCTAGCCACCATGTGGTTTCTGGGAGCTGGACCCAGGTCCTCTGTAAAAGCAGCAAGTTCTCCTAACTGCTAAGGCGTCTCTCCAGTCTCAGTGTGTTTATGAATTATAAGAATTGTTCTGGTTGATTCTATAGGATCATTTCAATATAGAATCCTGTTATCTGAAATAAATATAGTTTGAGTTTCTTTTCCCACTTTTATCTCTGTAATGTCTTTCTCTTGTCTTATTACTCTACCTACCTAAGACTTTGAGCACTGTACTGAGCAAGAGAGTTGAAGTTGGGCATCCTTACCTTGTTCATGATCCTGAAGGAAATGTTCTCTGTTTTCGCTGTTTAGAATAATGTTGGCAGTTGGTTTGTTGTATGCAGCCTTTATCGTTTTGAGGTATGATGTATTTATCCTAATGGCTCCAGGATATTTATCACAAAGGCAAGTTGAGTTTCGTCAAATGTCTTCTGCATCTATTGAGGTGATTATGTGATTTCTGTCCAAGTTTATTTATATGATAGATTATCTTTATTGACTTGTGTGTGTTGAACCAATTTTCCTACTTGAAAATGAAGCCCACTTTTCTTTTTTTAAAATATTTTATTTATTTTTATTTTTTATGTGTATGACTGTATTGCCTGCATGTGTCTAAGTGCACCCATGTCATGCAAAGCCCAGGCAGGTCAGAAGAACGCATCAAGTTCACCTGGAACTGGAGTTACAGAGAGTTGTTAGCTGCCATGTGGGTGCTGGGAATTGAACCCAGATCCTCTGTAAGAGCAGCCAATACGCTTAACCATTGATCTAGCTCTCCAGCCACTGAAGCCCACTTTTTCATAATGTATCATTTTCTTAATGTGTTCCTGATTTTGTTTGCAAGTATTTTGGGAAGAATTTTTGCATCGACAGTCATCAGGGAAATTGATCTGTAGTTCTCTCTCTCTCCCTCCTTCCCTCCTTCCTTCCCTCCCTCCCTTCCTTCTTCTTCCTTTCTTTTTTTGGTTATATTTTTATCTACTTTCAGTATCAGGATAACATTGTCTTTATGGAATTAGTTTATTAGTGTTCCCTCCCTTTCTACACGGTCAAACAATTTGAGTAGTGTTAATATTAGATCTTCCTGAAAGGTTCGAGAGCATTCAACACTGAATGCAGCTGGTCCCAGGCTTTTCTTTGTGAAGAGATGTTTGGTTACAGCTTCAATCTCATTGCTTGCAATGTCTGTTTAAGTTATTTACATCTTCTGGCTTTAATTTTAGTAGTCATATACATTTACAAGTTTGTTTATTTAATGTATGCTTTCTTGCTTTTGGAGTATAAGTTTACAAAGTGTTCTTTAGTAATGTTCTAAATTTCCTCAGAGTCTAGTGTCACAATACCATTTAAAAAATATTTTATAATTTTTATTTTGTATGTACGAGTGAATTACCTGCATGTGTATTAGTGCACCCGTGTCATGTAATGCCCACAGAGGTCAGTGGTGGGTGTCAGATCCCCTGGAACTAGAGGCACAGTTGGTTGTTAGCTGCCATGCCATGTGGGTCCTGGGAATTGAACCTGCGTCCTCTGCAAAAGCACTCAGTGCCATCTCTCCAGCCTCAACAACACCATTTCTTACTTTAATTTTAATCTGATTCTTTCACTCTCCATTTGTCAGTTTGGCTAAGTATTTATCAACCTTTTTAACTCTCAAATCCCTAAATATGTGATTGATTGAGTATATTTTCTTTTTTTAAAATAAGGGGTTTTATTATTATTATTATTATTATTAATTTTGAGACAGGGCCTCCCTATAGACCTATCTGGCCTGTAACTCAGTGTGTCAGCAAGGCTGCCCTCCATCTCACAGAGATCCGTCTGCCTCTCCAGTATTTGGGCTCAAACAATGGTGACAGCATGGACAAGATCTATGCAAACTCAAGTACAAAAAAACCTTGCATACAACTGGGGAAATGGGAAGCAGGACCCAACCATTACCAAGGAACTATTGTCAGCTGATTACTTTCCAGTGAGGAAGAGTTGATCTTTAAGGGAGTTTCTCTAGATAGGCTGACTAGACCCCAGTGACTGAACTTGCACTGAGGGACTTCTGGGTACACTAACTTGACTCAGTAGGCCTTAAGATATATGACAGAATGCATGAAATCCATGGAGGGTCAATGGGTTGTGAATAGAGGAGGGGGTATGATTAAGATGTTTTATGTGAAATCTACAAAATCCAATAAAAAAATGTACATAAAAAAAGGCATGTGCCACCATGCTAGTGATTATGTATATTTTCTCAAACTTACTTTTGCTTAAAAGCAAACAAATAATTAAACACAGGAAATGTATGTATGGCATGTAGTTTGAAGGTTTTAAAACAATTTGGAGAAAATGAGTATGTCTTATTTTCAAAAACTGAACTGGCAATAAGTTTTCTTTTACTTGCTTATTTGTTGTATTTTTCTGTATTTGCATCATGTATTGATTGAAAAAAATGAAGTTTTTCTTATTAAAATATAAACTTAAAGACAGATCTATTTGGACATAATGGTGCATGCCTGTAATCCCATCACTCAGGAGTCATTACAGAAAAATCTGGAGTTAGAGACCAGTCTGGGCTAAATAGTGAGACCTTGGCTCAGAACAAATATTATTTGTTTTTGCATCCTGTTTATATAATTAACAGCTGGAAGTCTCCTGCATTTGAAACTGGTACCTTCACTCTGTCTTATCCAAAGCTTTCTTTTGTCAAGTCCACAAGCTTTCCAGAGAACAGCAATCAATTTTACAATTTTCTCATTAGCCCTGTGCCTCAGATTAATTGGAAAAGAAGTGATGGAATGCCATTTCCCAACAAAATTAAATTGAGGAAGTTCAGTGCTGTGCTTGAAATCCCTAACTTCCAACAGGAAGATGCAGGTTCCTATGAGTGCATTGCTGAAAATTCACGAGGAAAAAATGTGGCTAGAGGGCGTCTGACTTACTATGGTAAGCATCTATTTGGGGAAAATTTGTATTATTGCTTTTGCTCTCCCATGGGTGTTTTGGGAATGGGAATGGCTATAGCAGAATATGAAGATTTAATTTGTGTTCTCTATATTTTATTTTTATTTTGTTAAGTAAGGACAAACATTTATCAGAGAAGGAAGAAATTATAAAGAAATACAACTTCGCAAGCAACTTGAAGACACATTCTTTTGCATATTTAAAATTATTTATATGATAACAAAATCTTTCACATTTTTTTCTGAGTGACCTTTCACCTACTGAAGCATGTCAAAGAGAGCTGCCTGTACTTTCTTCTAGAAGAGGTGGTTTTATGTCTTATTTTAGTATGCAGAATAAAACTGCCTACTCCAAAAGTTGCAATTATTGTGAATTAAACAAATGGAATAAACTGAGAACCTTGCTGTTATTCACTCTTACCTCTCTCTGCAATATGCATCTTCAGTCTATTTTTTTCCTTTACTTTGCAATCACATTTATTTGATGTACTCCTCAATTTGGGGAAAGAAAGAATAATGGTTCCTTTATTTAGAAAGCTCTTTTTGAGAAAATAAGCTATTCTGTTTCCTTTCAAATTTCTTTTGTTTAAATATGCCATTAGATTTTGATGAAAACATGATTCAGAAAGTATTATTATATTACTGTACAAAATACACCTGTAAAATGCATGAAAATGGAAGTTCTCTGAATATGTATTTGCAGTTTAATCATTAGCAGCATTGCAAAACTAGTGATAATTCACCAACTTTTTGAAAGGCAAATTGCATTATAGTCTATTTATTTTAGTAACTGGAAATTCAACAGCTTTCAGTGCCAGTGTGTAAAGTATAGATAAATGTTACAGAAAGGACAATTATTAAAATAATAGGAGCTGCTATGATCCTCTCTCAGTACATATATACTTTACAAGTATGTCATCTCTGACATAATTAATACTTACTTCCATATCTAGAGCAACAAAGAAGCATGCTTTGATGTTTTGTAACTTTACTGTCTTGTTCCATGATCAGTTTTGATTTGTTTTTTGTTGTTGTTGTTGTTTTGTTTTGTCAATTAAGATGGGGGTCTTCCTGCAGCCCCAGCTGGCTTGGAATTCACTATGTAGACGAGGCTGACCTCAGTCTTACAAAGATCCACCTGCCTCTGCCTCCGGAGTGCTGGGAGCATGCCATGATCAGTTTTGAATATAAGTAAGTGTCCCATGTCAGGGATGTGAGCTGGAATAATATAGGACCTCTAGTAGTGATGATAACAAAAAGATTAACATTTAACCTTTGAGGCTAGCTAGCTCTAAGTCCTCCATAAGACAACTACCATTTCTCACGCTCTAGCTTAGCTGCTTCGTTCTGAGCACCTACTACTTGTTTCAGTCAGGATCAGAAGTGACTACTGTGAGAAAGCAGAGGATACTGTTTCAATTAATGATTCACTAGACTGTTTTTAGGCCTTTGTCCAAGTGTCCCTCTCTAAATAATAGTCATATGCCTCACGTGAAGACACATGGAAAGTTAAACTAACATTCAAGCACCTTAGCATCAGATAGTGTCTCGGTTTCTCTGATTTTTATCTTTTTTCTGTATTGCCTTCATCTTGTTCCTATTTCTCCATGTTAATTACCATTGTATTACAAGGTGGCCGCCAGCCACAACCAGCACATCAGTTGCTATTCATTCTTCTGTTTTCCAAAACATCTAGTAATCTGTTGCCCAAATGTTCATCCCTATTGCCCTCACTGGAAAGGAGAAATAGGATTAAACAGCTTGAGAGCCTCCCTTTGGAAATGGAGTATAATATTAACTCTCCCTAGATTTTATGGACAATATGAGATGATGGAAGGGAGCACAACAGAATGAAAGACGGGTGTTATTTTAATGCATGGAAATTAAGGTGCAATAGAAAACCAACATCATCTGCTATACTTACTAAAAGAAGTGGACTATTTCCTAGGCCCATTTTATAGATAATAGATTACACATATAAGAAATAAATTGTAAATTAAAAACATGGTTTTGTGGAAGTTGCCTACAATTTTGGCTTAAGATTACATTACTGTCTCAAAAAGACCAAAAAAAAAAAAAAAAAAAGGATTACATTACAGCATCAAATGCCATGTAATTCTCTGATTATTTGGTCTAATCTTTCTTGTAAAAAATGGTGTGATAGAGTTTTGGTATCTCATGAGACGGTTATGGGAGAAAAATCATAATTAATGTGCCAGTTGTACTCTCAGGGCTGAGTCAGTGCACCAAATTAGTTCTTTTATTTTTCTGAGAAAAAGAATATTAGCATGGGCAACCAATTGTACAAATTCTTAATGGAAACTCAGGTCTCAGTCACAGGCTTATGGTAGCATCTCTCTTCAGTCTCATTAAACATTGGGCTGATGACTCCTGAAATGTGAAAATTGTGTTTTAATATGAAGTAGGATAAGTGATTTGGTGTGAACTATACTTCTTTGTATACAAAAAACAGAAGAACCCCTTAGACCTGTCCATTTTCAGGACAAGTCAATAACCATAGCTTCCTTTCTATTTCATTTACAAAAAGGCAATTTTGTGTGATAGAAATGTAAAGACACATCTTCCTGTGGTTGCAATTACACAGAAGTAGATAAATCGCTTCTCCATAAGGAGAATACAAATGTGGATCCTGGGGCATATATCCTATGCATAATGCAATGTGAAACCACTATGACATCTCACCTCCCAGGTTTGGATCTGCAATACAAGCTGGGTCTTGGCTGAAAATACTGTGTGTTGAAATGGCTTTCATGGGAAGTGGTATGTCACTTTCATCTACAAAAAGAATTTTCCTAGTATCTTACAAAACATAAGTGAAATGATTAATCTCCTTGATCCAACTGATTTGCATGCATAATCTGAAGTTGCAACAATTACATCTTTTTTCTGATTAAAAAAATCATGATTCACATTGAGCCAATTTATCCATCTTTTGCCGTTTTCATTTTAATGCACTCAGAAGCTTGTAAGAAGTTCATTGGTTTGTATTTAATTGAGAGCTATTTCAAACTCAAAGGTAATATTTTTTCCTCAGCTATAGAAGTTTCTTTCCTATAGATACTAATATTTAGTTCATCATCACAACCAATATGTGCTGCCATTCACTTTAAAGTTGCCATCAGATATGATCTCATGATTCAAGAATATCCTTGAGGAGAAATCCATTTTTGTACCTGCATTACTATCTATGAATAGACATCCAAGAATTGAATAAAGTGTTCAGAATTTTGAAAAGAAAGCATAATGAACTTGCCTTAGAATATAACAGACGGCAACACCCATCTTCAAATCTAGAAATTCTTCATATAGCCATTCAGTGAGTTAAATCTAATTCCAGTGTGTGCTCGCTTTAATCTATCACGGACAGTCTTACATTCATTTATTCTGATATGGCTATAAGGCATTTAGTTTTTGTTTGTCGGATGATACAAATTTCTTTCCTTCCTATTCCCTATTTTCCCCCTATCACAGCAAAGCCTCATTGGGTTCACCTCATAAAAGATGTGGAAATAGCCGTGGAAGATAACCTCTACTGGGAATGCCGGGCCACTGGGAAGCCCAAACCCTCCTACAGATGGCTAAAAAATGGAGAGGCCCTAGTGCTAGAGGTGAGGTGCTGCAGCTGGTCAGTCCACTTCTACATTTTTTGTGTTTAAGAAGTGTTTCCTTTAGTTTCTAGAACCAGGGCTGAAGAGATGGCTTAGTATGTAAAGGGCTTGCCTTCCAGGCACAAGGACCGGAGTTCAATCTCTAGCACCCATGTAAAAAAGCTAGGTGTGGAAACAAATGCTTGTAATTCCAGAGCTGGGTAGCAGACACACAGGGATACCTGCCAGTAAAAGACATTGTCTCACAAAAAAACTGTGGGTACAGTTTGGACTTCATCTGAGGAAGGACCTTGAAAGTTGTCCATTGGCCTCCTCAAACACACATGCTTCCACATCACAACTGCACAAATATGTACACACACACACACACACATACACACACACACACACA